GTCCCTCCCAGATGACCGAGCTTCTCCCCCTATTCCTAAGGGAGAGCCCAGACACCCTGCGGAGGAAACCCATTTCGGCCGCTTGTGTCCGGGACCTTGTTCTTTCCATCTGATATAATCCAGGATAAATATTTTAATGTTTGATAATGAGTGCCTTTAAGCTTTTGCACGTTAGGACTACTTAAGCCTGACAGAAATATAGTCATCATCTGTAATGGTTGGACTTCTGCAGAAAACAAAGCAAACCCAGCCTAACGAACGGAACCTGAACGCACTCTATTCAGATAAAGACACTGACRGTATGTTATCTGTTTCAGGCTGTCAATAACTGTCAGTTGTTACCATCAATAATTAATGACACAATTAGCTKTGGAGCAGCCTGATTGATCTGCCAAACTCTGCCTGTTGGCTGCTTGGCCTGCCAGCCCCCTTCTCACTGACTGAAGCTGAACACTTATTGATTTTTCACCTCTTTCCGAGACATCATGCTGACTGGAACCTCGGCTGCACGAGGAGGCGCACGCCCTCGATTCATCAATACATGTCTGCTGATGTGTTCGCTTTCCCTCCCCACATCGCCGTGTGTCCATCTGTCTCTTCATTAAAGGCCCAAAGTGCAGCGTTCGCACAACGCCATCAAAAGGCATCAGCTTTTCTTCACTCCTTTACTGCTGGGAAACCAAAACATGTAAATGTAAAAGCAACCAACCGTTAAAATGTTGAATCTGGATTTTCTTTCTGGTTTAATGTGATGGACTGAACTGTGGACAATCAGACTAAAGAGATAAATCAGCTCAGATGAACTGAAGTAAATGGGCAAATCAAATGTAAGGAAAAAAATATTTCACCACAGCTACAAGCACACATCAGCATAAAGTCTGGGAGTTTTATTTGTGATATGAAGCCACGCGACCCTGATCGTTGGATTTGTGGTCAGAAATTAGGGAAGCAGCATCTGAGTCAAAAGAGCTGCAGCTGCTGAGCTGGCTGATGACTCATTCACCATTCATGAAATCCAACGGTAAAAATATTTATCCCAAAAAAGAAAAGAGAAATGGACAAAAGCAGCTAAAATAGAAAAAGCTAAAGCTGAAAGTTAGAATAAGAACCAATTGATGCAGCATCTCAYATGAATAAAACACAGTAAGTTTTTTTTTTGTTTTTTTTAACTCATTAAGTTTCATTTTATTTTATTTTTTGCAAAGAAACTCCAACATGTCAACCAAAATGAGTCAATGTATTTAATGTATTGCCTCTCTACCCATGATGCATKATTTTTTTCAACTTTAACCCATTGTCTTCATTAATGGACACCACCAGCACCCTCTAGTGGTCCCATAACAATATTACACTCATTTGAGTGAAAACATGATGGCAGGGATCCCACTGAAAAGCTTCTATAAAAACTCTGGTAAGAAAAATGGCCAAGGTAAAAATCAAAATTACATTTCACACTTGAAACCATGTATTTATGCACCGTTACATCTTTAGCTTCATAAGACAAAAAAATAACACTCTTTTACAACTTAAGCAAAGTACAATGTCGGTAAAGATAAAGTCCTCATTTGAGGATATTGGGACTATAATTTCATTATTAACTGTGCCATGAGGTAGGATAAGCCTGCAAATATTTAGAAGAGTTTASAAATGTAAATAGTAGAGATGCTCAATATTCACTTTTTGCCGATATTTGATATGCCTATATTGTTCAACATTTAATTTACGATTTCGACATTAACCGACATTACAAACCGATATTTAGGTGACATCACATATCTCCTGTCAGGGACATTATGTGTGCTTTTTCATACCCCCAATGGATGCATTCCATAGGTAAACATTGTCTGTACAAAAATAAAAACCATTTAACTGAAGTCATGGGAAAAATGCCTTTTTTATTTACATTTTGTCTCATAGTTTAGATCATGCTCCCCCTGAGATAATCCAGTTTGATGATGTCATCAATTGAGCACTGATGAACATATCTGGACCACAAGCAGTTATTAACACATTTTGGTCAAATCCAGGTGTTAATTTATCGGGCTTTAGTTATCAGAAGAAAAACTGATACTGATTTATAGAGATTTTAAATTTTTATGCTACTATCGGACTGATAATATCTGTAGGCCGATATTATCGGACATCCCTAATAAATAGTTAGTGTATTTGGTCACCATTTTTTATTAAACAGATCTGGAAATATTTAGAACAGCTCACAAGGGCAAATAGTTCTTGCAAGCGATACCAATTAATTATACCAACGATGTTCAGGTCAAATGGTCTGCAATTTTCTGCCATAATGGCACGTACTATGTTCTTCAAACTGAAGAGCAATCTGAAAGTTGTCGATGATGATGATGATGATGATGATGATGATGCACTTCACTACTCTTGCTCTGGTCAACAGCTGGCTGCTGTATTGCCAAAATAAGTAGGAAAATGGAACCACCAAAAAGGCTTTTATGGCTTTTGTATGGTGATTGTTTAGGCATTCCTCAAAAAGCGTGACGTTTTGAGATTGTCCTCATATGAGGACA